TAACACTGTGTATAAAAACGCCCACTTCTCTAATTTTACGTCAAAAGGGTTGCCATACAACAGGCAATCGCGCCAAAAAACCAGCGCAGAACACATATCGCCACATTTGGTGATCTTAGGGCGCGTATAAGAGTAGAGTCCCGTTGAAATATGATACCAAAAATTTTTTGTGACCAAAACACTTCCTTTACTGCGTACAAGAAAGTAAAAAGCATCCCATTTACTTTTCATGTATGCATGAAAAGAAACATGATTTAGTGGAGGGGGAAAAACCCTCCAGTGTAGGAACTTTGGTTATAAGATATTTTCTCTTTTCACTTTCCTTCGTGGTGTAACTGGAAGCATACTCGACGCGTATTCGGGAAGTCCAGGGTTCGAGTCCCGACGAGGGTACTAGACATTTTTCACGTCTCTTGCTTCAAAATAACCTAATGAATTTATAATATTACAGCTAAAACCTCGAAGGAAAGTTTATCATTAGTACTTTAAAGTCAATATATGGGGCAGTAGCTCAGATAAGCTAAGTTTCATTGATTGTTATTCACTTGAAAACAGTGACATGGTGCTGATTGTTAGAAAGCTTGATAATCAGATTTTACGAGGTATAACAGTTAAGAAGGCTATAAAAAATTAATAATAGAAAATAAAATAGCGAACTATAACACAACATAAAACATGCAGAGGGACGAAGAAACTGCATTTTAAAGACTTCATGTTATATTTTAACTCCTCACAAAAGCGTTTATCATTAAAGATTTAAAAAATTTTTAAAAAAATTAAGATATTAAAAAAGTAAAACATTATTGAAAGTAGAAAAAATAAATGTTGCGTAGTACGTGGCATTAGAAAAATCTTTCTTTATTAATTATAACAACTCTAAAATTATCAGATATAAATTAAGTGAATTTGACTTAGATGTATTGTAACGTATCTTATGTTAATTAACCATAATTAGGATTTGGATCTGTACTGTATTTTCGTTTTTCCGTAGTCCTCAACCAGAATACAAATTAGTTTTGACTGTATTCAAGCTGAAGATTTTAAATCTTAACAAAAGAGAGCTTTTAGCAATCCAGTTGCTATTAGTATTTTCGCCAGCTCTATTTTAAAAGTGATATTCCGGCTTTGGTATTCTCGCTAGCCGATGCTTCCAACTTAAGCGCCAGTAAAATAACTGAGCCAGCTTATTCTAGTGAATGTGTAGTCTTAGACTATGTTATCAGAATTTGACTGAATTGACTGTTATTGTTTAATTTAAATAAAGTGGTGTTTTTTGTTTGTAGTTAGCTTTTATGTTCGATTTGGACTAAATAAAAAAGGCTTTTTAAACCTTCCTCAGTGTTTGTGAGTTGTTAAGACGTAGCGAAAACTCTCTATTTGTTTATAAGGATCTTCAGAACTTTAGTTTGCAAATACAATAGGAACCTTATAGTGTTATTGAAAAATGTAGAATAGAAATTTAAATCATTCAGAACTGTGCTTATCACTTTTAAAACAGATTATTTTTTGAAGCTCTTTCGTTCAGTGACAACAATTGTTAATAGCTGCTTCTATAGGTTCTTTCTATTTTTCTCATTTGTCGATTTTGCAAGGACAGAAATTTGTAAGTTACGTGAAAACGTATACCTTCTTTGAGGTGTACAAATTACAGTGTATGTGAACCCTCGTAATGCTATTGATGGGAACTTAAAAACTCATTAAAAGTTAAACCATGCAAGGAATGACAGCCTTGCAGATTTCTTCGGCTAAAGCTACCTTTCATTACCTCCCGACATATTGATTAAAGAAGAGGAAGTTTTAAAATGGTATTATGTGAACTCGTCAATTTTACGAAAATTGATCTGAGGTTAAACTGTTTCGTTTTTAAGGGCAGATATTACAAATGAGCTTGTTGAGACATTAGTTTATTTCGAAGCAATAGCGATGAAAAATGAGCAATGCCTTTGCCGGGAATCGAACCACGGACCTCTCGATACGCACCGAGTGTGCTGACCATTACACCACGAAGGCATACAAAGAAGGCGGGAGAGATACCTTCTCAGCGTTCCGCATCATTTATAAAATAAAATCAAAATGACATAAAATGTAATTGCAATTAATATTTTCGTGTCTTACTTAATACACTCTGGCTGCATGTATAAATTTGTTCTAAACATAACCTTCTACGTTAAGAAGCTATTTATAATGCTATGAACAAGTTGCAAGCTGCTAAGAATGAATTAACGTCACTGCTTTGGTTATTGGTAATTCAGCTGAGTGCTGATATTCTACTTTCAATCATTTTTATTGAAATTTATGTAGGAATATGGATGAAAAAATTACATGCGCATCTAATTGTAAGCCCATAAAACAATTAAAGGCAGCTAGTAAGCTAGATTGAGCTGCTCGCAATTAAATAATTTTTTTTTATTTATTATAATTTTTCAGTTTGCTTCTTATTCTTCGTAATTAGTAATCACTTTTGTAACCAGCCTTCTAAAATAGTTAATTAACCGAATAAAAAACGAAACACAAAATGACAGTGAGATGAATAAAGAAAAAGAGAATCTGAAAGGTTTCAGATTTTAACGGTCACCGAAAAGGGTTTGGTAAGATTTATGTTCTCGTGAGCTCGCAGTCTACCAGTCTGTTACGCTCATCCCCTTTTTTTATTTGTCTTTGTAGCTTTCTTACTAAGCATCATTGTCTTCACATTTATGCCATATTCAATTCAACAGCAAAACTATAAAAATGTTAAAAGCAGCATAGCAGTATACGTTTAAAATTCTCGATGCAGCGTTAAGTGTTGGCATGCATTTTTCTGATTTTTTCAGTCTTTTCCCAGTTTATCATATCAATGTTCAGTTTTCCTTCTAAGATGGCTTTACAAAAAAATTCGACAGAAAATCACAAAATATTTGAAAACAGAATATTTGCGATAAACACTCTCACACGCTGGAGAACAAAAATATTTTATTCCCTAGTGTTGCCACTGCTCGCTTTAAAATTGTTGATATTTTTAATCAAAAATTCGTTAAAGTTTTACAAAATATGAAATAGACAATAAAACAAATTCCAAATTCGGGCTACCAGGTGCCCATGTTCGGCTGGAGGACTATGTTATTCAAAATTTGATGATTGTTCCATTGCTTTTCCACCGTGCAAGAAACATGCATACATTCATGCAGATTCTTCATTATTTAGTTTCTTTAAGTAAAATACAGGGCGATAATATTTGGCAGCAACAATTTGAAAACTGATACATCGCATTTAAAGGATTCCACGCGAAATACCATTTCGTGACTAATATTCCTTGCTGATTAACATCCCTTTAGGCTAATAAATAGAAAAAAACATTGAAATTTAAAATTCAAGCTTCGAGGTTTGAGTGGAGGACTATGCTTGTTTAAAATCTGATGGCGCGAGTTGTCACCGATTTTGCGCAATGCGAGGAACAATCATGCAGATTCTTTATTATTTAATAATAGAGATTAAAATGTGTAAGCTTTATTCATGCTTATTAGTTACTTATACAGGGTGAATCTGAATAAGAGGGCAAAATTTTAGGGGGTGATAGAAGGCTATACGAGCAATATTCGTCATAGAATGTCTGGTCGGAAAGCAAGTGATGAAAAGTTAGGGAGTAGTTAGTTTTCCACTGTTACATTAAAAATAATAATAATAATAATAATAATACAAGAATGAGAGGAGATACTTCAGAAAACATTTCATTAACAGGAATATAACTAATACACATGCTAAAAAAAATGCTCAAAAGACCTTCTTCCAGCTGTAATGCGCCCACCAGCGGCCGAGCGGTAAAGTCGCTGAACACTGGTAGTTCGGTCCGAGGTTCGAATCCCGCGAACGGGCTGGCTGCATGGTCGTTTTCATGGTTTTCCCCATGTGTAACGTGTATACGAGCCAGTTTCCCTTAGAAAGTCCTCCACGAAGGCATCCCTCCTCTTAGGCAGATAGCCCTCGAGGCTTTGCCATACTCACACACACACAGACACACACCAGCTGTAATGCAGGCTTTACACCTGCGCAATAGGGAAATGACGCACATTTGCGAAGACACCAGGCATTCCCCGTGTATCGGCGGCAACAATGGCAAACCTGACGAGTAGATCCATATTTGTTTCAACGGAGCATTCGTACATTAGGCTTTTCATATGGCCCACAAAAGTTCAAACACAAGAGATTCAAACACGAGGTGATCTTGGTGGCCAAGCTATGAGACCACCTCGATCAATCCATCGCCCTGGAAATTTCGTGCTTTGTATAACCAGCCATTGTCTCGGCAGTCCTTACCCCGGGGGTTGACTCAGGCGAACGCCTGGGAAGTATTGGTTAGAATCTGTACCTAGGCAGTCTCAACTACAGGGGCAGCAGACTTCACAGAAGGCCTGAGGACTCTCGGGACGCGTAATGGCAAACCGCACATTGAGTTGAACAGTGTTAAACGAATGTCGCATACTGCGCATGCCCAGAAACAAATTTGGCGTAATTATTATGTTGGCGCGATTTGAAAAGAGGATAAATACGGTATGTGGTAGATGTACCGCCATCTGATTGTAAACAAATCCGGCGTTTAAGTCTTCGTAGAGTATATGTGCAATGTAAAGTAATTACTGTGTAAAATTAGATTTTTTTCCTGTACTGCTCCAACAACTGGAAAGTTGAACGATACGATCAAGTTTAAATTCGATTGAAGAGTGCACAAAATGGGTAAAGGAAGTCAGTGTAAATGCAGATAGATGCTCCAGTGGATAGCGCGAGCTTTAAACCAAATGCTATTGCGATATTGCTTTCAGGTATGTATATATTTTCCCATTTCAGTAAATTTGATATGTTATATGTGCAATATGTGATATATTGTATTTTAACACATATACAGTTCATTAACATTTTTTAACATTTCCTAAATTTCTATATAATGTAGCATCTTAATCTTTCTTAATGAAAGATGTTTTAAGAAATTTGTTTCCTTACTGTTTTAATTTTTTCGAAAAGAAACATCATTTTCGAGAAACTTCAAGAAGAAAGTTATTAGCGTAATTTTATTACAGCTAAAACTGATGCAAGGTACTTGAGTCTTTTATCACAAAATGTGCTGAAATGTTTTGGTTGAAGTTAATATAAAATAATGTAATGAACTCGTAATGTAATGAATTGTGGTATAACTGTAAAGAATTGGTAAAAATAAAATATAATTAGCTTCAAATTTACTTAACTCCTTATATTATCAAATATCTATTGAATAGAAAAAAACCTGTTGAAATATTAAATGTAACAAGTTCTATTTTTAAAAGGCAGATGATTGTACAGCATGTAGGAATTGATGATGATTTTTTAATAATCCTAAAGTAATAGTAAAGTCAACAATAAAGTATATTTTGATGTATGTAATTTTCATCAATGATTACATAACATTGCACTTTAATATAAGTATGCTTGGATTGTTTTCATGTATGCTATATATTATTGCAAATTAGTTCTTCATAAAATTGTATATTTCTGCTGTGAAAAAGTATGTATGCAATCATGCAAGTTGTAGGAAAACATGTACGTGTACTGCACATGTACCAGGAAGACAAGATAACAATTATGACTGTCAATCATCATTTGCTGACTGTATCTGTCAAGCTGACTACACAGACTACTATAGTAGCCAAAGATTGTAGAAAGTGTGTTTCAGAGTTGAATATATGAATTAAAGTTAGTAGGATAATTATTCTTAACTAAATAATAAAATTTAAATAAAACCCCTTATTTCATTTTTTATAAATTCTCTTATTATTATGATGTGATTTCACAACCATTGACGCTCTCCTATTGTTAAATAATTCATTCAGCACTGAACAACATATTATTTTATTGGTATAAAAAATAATATATTTTGTGTGTATGACCAAGTTATGATCTAAGATTTTTCAATACTTGAATCATCCTTTTAAAGATTTTTATAAAATGATTTTTTTTAATTTCAGGCATTGGCACAGTGAATGGCAGCTGAAAAATTTTGACCCTTGTTTCTGGAAGTGAAATGTTAGATGTAAGTAATGATGTCTGAGACCCTTATCACACGGCATTTGTTTTCACATGAACAACTTGTTTCGGACAATTTTTCTGCCTGGTTTACTATTGAAAGAAAGACATGCAACGTTTTCCTTCCTTTCTAAAAAAATTGCAAATTGTTCGTTTTCAATCAATCAACTATCAGCTTGTTTTTAATGGGGAACCAGTTTTCCATGTTAACCCCAAAGTGATCTATGATAATTGGCTGTTGTGACAAAGCAGAAAAATTGAGCCAAACAGTTATTCTTCCGAAACAAACTGACGTGTGATAGCATCCTTACTGCTAATAATACTGTGAAGCACGTAATTGTATGCTTTGCTAATGAATATGTACTAGGCAATTGTGGTTATTATGAAAGAGGTGAAATTTTCAAATACAATTGTTTCAGTTACAATTATTACAGATATTATTTAATTTTGTAATAATGCTAATTAAAAATATGAATTAAGAAAATGCAAAAAATTAGTGTATAACCATACTAAATAGTTCAGAGTAAGACTTGTACTTAATTTAGAGTACGCACTCATTCACACATATGATGACTCGTACACTGATATAAATTTGATATGCTTTTATATTGTTTACATGTCTTCTATATTCAGATTTGAATCATCATCTGCCAACAAATTCAGTTAATCAGGCATTGTTGACCTTATTAGTTTCTTGCAGATGTGTGAACTTTGGAAACATTTTTAGATTTAGTGTAGTTTTTGTTTGCTTTTCAGGTTTTCACATAATATCAACTAGAAACATTACCTCTTCATTTTAAAGGTCAAAGAGATAAAATTAAAAAAAAAATTAATTAGTTAATATCAAACCTAAAATGTTCTTTTATTACACAACTATTATTTAAGCCATCCAAATGGGCACAATATTTTTATAATACTTTTATTTAATTTTCCAGTATATGTTATTGAAGCCATTCAAATCCCACTTGGGCATTTTCAAGCATATTAGTTGTTGAATATTATGTCTGACTGTAAACACACAGGCAAAGTATGTATAATTATTATTGTAATTTAACCTATCTTTCCTTCAAATATTTCTTTAAAATTACACGAGACAGGCATACATTTGAGCTTTGATTAACAGACTTAGTGTAGTCGCCATGACGGATAAGAAAACAGATGAATAATAGACCACCCATAATCACCAACATATAATGCAAGGATTTGAGAATAAAGATTGCTTATTAGCATAATAGTGCACTGAATATTAGATATAAAAATTATAGAACTGAAAGATTTGTCACGTATCATCTTTGCTTATTATTATATATATTGAAAATAAACAGTTTGCTTCTGCAACAGAATAAACATCAAGTGTCTTGAAATGTTTTGTATACCTGGAGCTTTACAGTTCAGTACATTATACAAAGAGCAGTATGTATAATGATTATCAGGTCTGCACAGAAATTTTTAATGGAAAATTCTTATGTATAGATTTAGTTGATATTTCTTATCTTGTGTACAGATTTAGTTGATATTTTGCAAGACATGGCAATATTTCAGACTTTTATTCTAATTACTGTGACAAAACAATCATTAGAAAATTATACACATATGAAAATTATTAATATTACATTATGTAGCTTATATTAATCATTTTCATACGTGTATATGTAATATTTTGGCAGGCACAGGAATGACCAAAGCTTGACAATATAACTACATCATAGGCCAGGCATTGTTATGGCTGGATAGAAGGTTGCAAAATGACGACAAAGAAGGATTTAGCTTTTTAGATCCCACATCTTTATTCAATTCTCTCAGCAGATCATTTTGCCTTTAGATGAAATTCTCAAAATTATATATTCAATATTGATTTAAACTAAGTAAGATTAAATTTAGACTTTACGTCATATCTGCTTTAACAAAGGAAAGAACAAGATGGGAGGAGCAGCTGCAAGGTCTTGTAGCAGCGGTAGAAGAAAGCAGTCTGACGAAAAATGGCACGTATTCAGTATGTGTACTAGCGGTTATATAACATGCCAGAATGTTCTCGAAAGTACTGGTCTAGGATAAGATCCTGAAACTGCAGTAAGTTAATTATAGGTTGCATGCTCGCGCAGAGCAAAGCCACTGTATTTTCTATATTTTACATGTATATAATACATATTCTTTGTGTCTTGGTGAATACATTCTACCTCGCTGGCAGGTAACAAAGAAACTGACGATCAAAAGATTGATGAATATTTAATAATTTTGATGAGATTATCTAGGAAAGTAAAATAGTTTAAAACGTATTAAATATGGTTTTTTCCAGAATGTTTCCTAGCATAGTTTTTTTAATCTCAGACTAAATGATACACATTATCTGGAAGTTCATATTCTTGTGTCATAAAGTATGCTTTATTGTAATTAGTCTTAGATTGTAAAGTTAAATTTATGAAAATATGATGAGTTAAAAATGTATTGCAGATATTAAACTAGATTTTTATATGCAATTTTGAAATTTTAGAGATCTTGCTTCATGTAATTATTTTTAATGTTTTTATTAAATTCTTAATTAATGCTATTATGCATGCATTAGAAAGTGAAATGAAATAATACTTAGGGATATCATTTGGCTGCATTCTGTTGTTTCTCAGTTAAACTATTCTGCATTCAAAAAATTACTCAAGGATTCTCACGAATACCAGCTCAAACAGTTCCAAAGTATTTCTGCAAAATATACGTAATTACTTAAGAAGAATTGTATCTTTTTGATAATATTATTTAGCCTTTACAAGTTACTGCCAAAATTATTTTGTAAATCAGAAATCTTCGAGGGGATTAGTGTGTCTCGCATAGTTACCCTGGTGCCACACTATAACACTGAAATTGATAGATGTATAATTGAATGTTTAATCAAAAATGTCTAATTCCTCTTTTATGATATTTCAATAATTGATACTACTAAAACAAGAAATATTGGTACATTAACATTTTCTTAATATTCATTGTGTATTTGTTATGATGCATGTATTAATGTTAACTTAGTTACAAGTTAGCATTTGATAATGTTTGTTTTCAACAATTTAGGGTTTGATGAAGTGCCACAGAGATTATCGCTTAAAGAATGCGTGCAGGCCAACCACCAACACAAGATATTAAAAGAGCAATGAAAATGAAGATTTAACTATAAAGAAAAATCTGACTAATATTATTACTCATAACACTTAATTGTTTTCGTATTATTGTAAATTTATGCGAGTTTTCCTGTATTCTGTTTATTTTGCAACTTATGTTATTGTAAATTCATGTATGTTTTCATTCTTGCTCTGTCATGCATTTCATACTAATCGTTTGTTGTGCATATTAATTATATGTGTATATTACATCATTGAATTACTGTATTTGAATTTTAATAAACCTTTTTACCATTCAGTAGTACTTTTCCATAAAACCCTGAACATTCTAAACATCCCATATCACTAATCCTCAATTCTAAATAATACTTGAGTTTACTTAATTCATGTATTAATAACGAATTTGAAAAATAATACAATAGTGACATATTTTGAGGTAAAAAAATACTGCTCAATTGGACATTTTAAAATGTTTTTCCTTTTAATAGAGGAACATTTTTAAGGATTTAATTATTAGTATTTGAATATTGTATTAATATATGATTAATTAGTATATGAATATATTGTGTGTAATGAATAAGTAAGGCAGTGAATAAATTTTGAACAATAATTTCATATGAGGAAATATGATCTGCCTGGGTTAAAAAAATTAATCTTTAAATCCTATTTATGAGATTATATGGCTGAAATCTGTAGCCCAAAAGCAGTTAAAGCAACCCACCCCCAAAAAAGAAGACATTTTAAATAGTTTCTTCCAAAACTTGAAATATTTAAACATTACACGACCCTAAATTTCTAGTGAATTTAAAATACTCATTTCATTCAGTTCAGCTACTAGCCATTATATGAAATTTTCCTATATTATTAAAATGTTCCTCATGATTTTGCAAGGTGAAGACCACAAATGTTCTGCCCTCATAACTAATGATGATATAATAAGCATGAAGTAGACTTCAGCGTAAGGAATATGGAACTATATATTTTGCTCTTTGTTTATTAATTAGCTCACTTTTAAAAAAAATTCATATCATATAGTAAGTAGTATTCATAATTTTCTCATTTTCTTAATATTTCATTGAAGTATTTAAATGTTAATTTAATTAGCAATACCTAATAATGTCAAATGCATATATTATTATACAGAATGGGATTCTGACCATAACACTCGGGCAAAGTGATATACATGTTAATTTTTCAACAAGTTTCTGCGTTATGCTTTTTACTCTCTACACAGTGTTTAATTTTTAATTATTATAAAAAAATAATAGTAATACCAGAAAGTGTGACTTTCTTATATTATCCAACAGGAGACCTATGTTCACATCTTATATTTTGAATTTACAGTTTTCTTTTGTAGATGACAGACACCATACATTCAAAAGAAATTAACATGCTGCTGGATATATGCATGTGTTTTTCAAATTTACAGCTGTTGCATGTCATGTTATGTAATCGGGTAAAAAATGAAAGAATTAAGTTTATTGACACCAAAACAAATGCATACTTCGACATAAAGGCTGCATAAAAATGAAAATGGCTAAATTAAAATAGTGAATTGAGGTTGTAGAGTTCTCATTTATTTTTATTAACCAGCTATTTTATGATAATTAGCTTTTCTTTTTTCCTTTCCATTTTCCTGCCAGAATGCTAATTTTGAGTGTATTCAAATGAGGTGAATTCCTTTCGTTACTTTTGATTTACGCCATAATGCTGGCTGATTCTGTATGAACAAGCTGTGCACTCTGTTAATTTGTCCGAGTCTATAAAAGGGTTTTTTTACACCTATTCCAAACCTCTGTTGTAATTTCCAAAACATAACGAGAAGTCGCTTAATTTTTCCAGAGTTCTCACACAGTATATATTACCAAAGTGGGTGAAACTCGTATAAGGTGTAAGAAAGACCAAAACGGAGATTTATTAAATCAAGAAAAGTAATCGGTGGAAAAGGCATTTAATCTTAATAATGCAAAATCGAATTTTACACCAAATATTCAGACTTTTGTAACTGTTTTTATATTAATTAGCGAGAGTTAAAAATAAAAATTACCTTTATATTCATAACATAGGTTACATTCTGTTAATTTCCCATAAATAAACATAAAGAATACATTGACAAAATCATTGTACTAAGCTATTTTGGTAAAATAAAATCTACTATTTTCATTGTACTTCAAATTTAGGTTGTTTTCATGAAATTCTTTTATTAAACATTAACTTATACTTGATAATCAATCTTCAAGTTCGAAAATAAGTTAACTGTAATTGCATTTGTTTTATGATCAAATATTTTAATTTGGCATTTGAGCATTTCTAATGGCATTTCTTTTTCTGTTTGACATCTCTGCTCTGTTAAGGTTATAACCAGTTAAATTGTTACTGTGTCTCTGAAAAATAAACAGCATTCTTAAACACCATTTTAAAAATATTTCTGCGTGTAGTATTTTATCAGTAGAATTTTTCCTAAATAAATACAGAAGTTGTTATGAAAACATTTGAGAGTACATGTCTTGAAAGAGAAACAGCATTCGAAGTGTTTAGTCAATTATGATATATTAACAGCTATCATAACTTTGCATGTATGTTGTATGCATTATACATATATATATGCATAAAGACCCAATTTTGGCAATAAGTAGAGCTGTTACAAAATAATCATGAAGTCTAATGGAACGTACTCATCACACATACTGGGGGGAAATTAAATTTATGTACGTATTTGCCACTCTTAAAGAATTTTTTGGGGGAATTACAAATGTACCAATTTCTTATTAATATATAATCATTTGTTAATATTAAAGAAAAATTTATTTCTTAACTTAACTAAGGCAGCTAAGTCATAGACCAAAATATGTGTTTCTGCAGATATTCAGAACTTCCGGAACTACGAATACATTCACAGTTACAAAATATGTAAAATATATTTCTTTTAAATGCTTGGAATATTCGGAAAAATATCTAAATTCAAAGAAATGGTAAAATACGTTTCACTTGCAGATTCTTTGTTATTTATTTATTTGATTATATCACCATTAATAACAATGTTCACCCTCCCAGAATAAAAAATATATTGTTTATGTACTGAAGTCTTGGTTTGTTTCCCTTGACAAGTCAATTAATCTATCATCAATGACAATAGCTACCTTTTAAATACTTTTAATTTTGGCACTTAAAATGTTTGCATTTCAAAATAATATTTCTATGCAGCTTTTAAATCATTTTTAATGCAACAGAAATCTAAATAACTTCAAATGCTGGGTAAAATTCATTCCAATAATTCATCGCTTTAAATTTCTGTTCCTTGCAGATGATACTGGAAAAACCTTTTCTAATAATATATTTCTAATTCTACTAGGAATTACTGATAAATAATCCGATGAAAAAATTGATACAGGCATAGATGGAGGAGATGTAAATAATTATTACGAAGTAATGTGAAGCAGTGTTTGCATTCAAAATGTAAGATGTTATACTTATGAAATTCTGCACTTCACTTTGGAACTGTACGAATTTTCGCTCAGAAAAAGACTGAAACTCAGGATATATTAGTTACACTTTTAAGGAATAAAAACAATTCAGAATTTACCATACGTTACATTCGTACATACACAAAGAAACACGGACTTACGTAAAAAATATAGCAAGTGTTTGCAAATAACATTGAAGAAATTTTACAATTCCTTAATGCTGTTTATTTAATTCTTTTAAATAAGAAATAAAAGCGCGAATATACGTTAACAAACTAAGCGGGAAAATCCAGTTTACATTACTGAGAATTACAACATGTAAACAAATTACATCTAAATAACGAATTATTAAGCACAATATATGGTAACAATTATTAAATGCACTGTTAGACAAATTAAAATGAAACATATATTAGAAAAATAAGCAAGTGCAATCGGTATGAACGTTAAAATAACTAATAAACAAAGTTCGACAACATTGCAGTTGTACACATCACTCGACCACACTCGACAGCCATGGAGAGAGCTAGCGTAGGGTTGCTTTTAGTCGCCAATATTTCTTCCCGCGCCAAAGGTACACCATCAAGCGATAAGTACACCATCAAGCGCATTGAGTTGAACAGTGTTAAGCGAGCAGTAAGCGAAATTCGCTTAACACTGTTCAACTCAATGTGCGGTCTGCCATTACGCTCTCGGGACAGAGAAAGGCTCGTCAGGGACCGTACTAGTACTGCCTTGTCTGCCCTTGCTCTGTGGGGTCGCAATATTGTGGATTGATCAAGGGCGCGGCGGCACTTAATTCCGATAGGAGCCCCTATTAGGTCGCATTAGGACGGAAGATGTCCCGTTCCATCAGCATTGTCTCTGCAGTCCACGGTAGAAAATGCAGCTGGGTGAGATGACTGATCCTTTACATACCATTTTCAATGCCAAGATCGCATTTAAGCATTAAAAACATACATTAGTCTGATACTGCGTTTCATTATCGGTACTATCGAGCCAACGGCTTAGTTTCCATTACTCATTTTTTCTCAATCATCTATACCCACCACACGCAGAGCAGAAAAATCGCTAACGCTGGTATTGGTAGTTCAGGCTGCCAAATCATATACGTGACCGTTTTTGTGATTTGCTCACATGTAAGTGAATGCGAGTCAGTTTTCCTTAAAAAGTCCTCCAAAAAAGCATCCCTTCTGAAAGAAAATAGTTTTTATGTGCATTTCTAATCCGAGTCCTCTACTTATTCAAGCTGTCGACTTTCAGTTATCATTTCATACAATGTAGTATGTTATCATTGTATGAAATGATAACATACAATGTAGTAATGTTATCATTTCATACAATGTTTCATAATGTAGAGTCTAATAAACATTAAATTATTTAAATATCAATTAGCTAATTTCCATTATAACTTTCGGTTACAAATATCTTATGCAGCTGCGTAAGACAGAAAGCAAAATGTACCGTATATCAGTTTATTGCTTCTTTTTTTCGAATAAAGTTAAACGAGACTCATGAAGTAAAGATGAACGGGACTCATGGAGTAAAGCTGAATGACACTCACGGCTGGAGTCTTTAATGTCCTGTTGTATCCATACTTAATTCATCTTCGAATATTTATTTAGCTTTG